ACTGAGCTACATCCCCAGCCCTCTATTTTTTATTTTGAGACAGGCCCTCACTAGATCAGTAAGTTGCTCGGGCTGGGCTTGAACTTGTGATCTCCCTGCCTCCATCTTCCAGAGTGCTGGGATTACAGGTGTGCACCATCATGCCTGGTTTGAACCTTAAAATGACTGATTTTATATTATGGGAATTTCATCTGAATATAAAGAACCATGAAAATTAAAGTACCCATCATTCTCACTGCTCCACAAGCTGTCACTATTGGGAAAAAAGGGGTAAGATTTTGTTCCCATTCTCTAGGGATAAGGGCAATTCAATAGCTCTCTACAGCTTAGCATTTGGCCCCTTTCAGCCTTTTCTGTGAGACACGCAGCATTTCCCCGATGTCTGCAGCAGAGAAGTAACTCAAACCATCTGCCTGCCACACTGTGCACCTTCCCAGCAGCAGCAGCGGCTGTTCGCCCACAGTCACCGAGCAGTGACGGGGCCATTCACTGAGAGCTGAGGCCTGCGCTGATAGCACGCGAAGGCCAAGCAGGCCTGCATGGCCCAGCTGGGCCAGTGACTTCAGACAGAGACAACAGGTCACTGCAATGTGGTGGAAGAATATGACGACCGAGATTTCCATATACTTTCAGAATCAAACCTAGTGTCAATAGAGAACAGAAGGACCTTTGGAAGCGAGGCAGCGCTGTCCTTTTGACTCTTCTTATCCTCAGAAGAACAAATGCTTTGACACAGAGATCCAAACCAGTCAGCAAAACGAAGCCCAGAGCTTATAGGGCATAGAAACACATTTAGAAGAAGTGAAAAAGAAAGGATCCAAAAGGAAATTATGACACAATGGCACAAAAAAACTGGCTCACCGCACACTTAGAAGGGCAGGAGAGGGCTGCCTGGTCCTCCCTGCACCTGCTCCTTTCACCTATCAGTGTGGAGTCAGAGCCACAGACCCAGTCCTTGCGAGCCCTCCCCGCCCATCTTCCAAACACTCGCGCCTCACGATGGGCTTCCTGCTCTCTAATCTTCCCAGCTTTGGACCTTAGGATATTTTCTTCTTACGATGGCCTTGTCCCCTCCTCGGCTTAACTCTTGGCTTTGAGCTGCTTTTAAATATTCTTGTGCATGAGTCTTTGTTTACTTTATTCAGTCAGAGCTGTCACAGGTGTGCAAAGTGTTCAGGTCTGTCAAGGAAGCCTGCCTTTTTCAGGTATGAACCTCAAGGTGAGGTCTTCAGTCAGCTATGAGACTCAGAAAGCATCTTTAAATATACTGGAAAGCAAAACATTTTAAGTGTTTTCAAAATTCCGCAAAGTCCGTTGCAAAAAGCCACTGACTCAGAATATAGATATATGGTTTTTCCTATGTTGTGTGAGGAAAAAACAGCATGTGCTCCTATCACACTGTTCTTAAAGCCACAGAAACTGCAGTGTTACTTCCCTGGAAAAAATCCGAAAGGGTGAAAAGCACCCGTTTCCTATGTTTGTTACGGCATAAAATGAAATGCAAACTGGAGTGGGTTGTGGGTAAGGCTTCTAGTTTCCCTTTGACGGGAGTACAGAGACACAGCGTCCATTTTGATCTGCCTTGGGATTAAGCAATTTAAGGCGATGACAATGCTGTCTTTGTGCAGCGCTCACCCAGGGCCAGGGCTTCCCTGGTCAGCTTCATCCTGACATTGCAGCACAGCAGCTCCTGGGCAGCATGGTGAAACCACACTGACCTGGCTCATGATTTCTGACTCTGGTCTTCGGCAAATCCATGGAGTTTTCTGAGCCTTTTCTCCACATGTAAGATGGGAATAGTAAGATCCACTGTGTACTTTTTGAGGTGACTGTGATGGGTTGATCTCTGCCCCCGAAAAGATAAGTTGAAGCCCTAAATCTTGTACCACAGAAATTGGCCTTTTTGGAAACAGGGTCAGGAGAGATGGAGAGTAGGGTGAGTCCTTAATCCAGGAGGCCTGGTGTCCTTATACGAAGAGGGAACATGATGTCTGAAGAGGCAGACACACAGCAGGAGGCCATGTGACAACAGGCAGAGATCAGAGGGTGCAGCTGCGAACCCAGGAATGCCAAGGATGCTAAGAAGCACCAGAAGTTCAGAAGAGGCGCGGATTCCCCCTACATGTCTCAGAGGGAGGATGGCCTTAATTCAGTTTGGACTTCTAGCTTACAAAGCTGGAAAACATATTTCTGTTGCTTCAAGCCATTGGGCTTCTGGTAACCTTGTCGTGGCAGCCTTAGCAAACTAGTATAGTAGAGGAGGTCCAATGTAGTGTGTGTGTGTGTGTGTGTGTGTGTGTGTGTGTGTGCATGTGTGCAGCAGAAGAAATGGACGAGAAAGCAAGGCCGTATTTCCTATGTATCTGCTATGGACCAGAGGTGCTCCTCATGTCCTTCCTGCAGCACTGAGTCAGTTATTCTGAGAACTCACCTGTCATAAAAGTGACTTTAGCCTTCCCCCGCTCCCCACTCTTGCCCTCTGTCACCCTTCCACCTTCTGCCATGCAATGACGCACCACAGAGGCCCTCACCAGATGCAGTGCTGTGCTTTTGGACTTCCCAGCCAAGTGCGAGGCCAGCCACAGGCCCAACAAGTCTCGTTCCTTATAAATTTCCCAGGTATTCCACTATGCATGGGGTAATCAAAAGATAGTGAATATTTATATTTTTAAACAATAATTACAGAAAAACCTCCTTGTCACTAACCACCCCTCCTCACCAAACATCTTCCTTCATTTCTAGCACACTTATCCCATTGTTCTCTCCAGTTTTGGAAGCAGTCTTAGAAGTCCTCTTTGGGAGTGTCTTAATGAGGTGTGATTTTTTTTTAAAAAACACCATAAATCCTGCTGCCATCTGCCACTCAATGGACAGGTAAGCTCATAACGACATCACAGCACATCCTCACCTGCCTTATTCATTGGATTCAGCAGCGGGCAACTTCTGGCTCTTCCCCACAGTGAAAGGGACCATGAAAAGGAAATGGGCTTCGGGACATCAGGGCAGCCATGGCAGCACAGCTAAAGAGGCCTTCCAGCACTGCTTCAGAAGGTGGCAAGAATGACAGGACGAGTGCGTCCAAAGCAAGAGGAGGTGTTCTGAGGGGGACTCGTGGCAATCTGTCTTCTACTCCGATAAATTTTTTAAAAACACTTACCATATTTTTCTTGCTAAAAATATTTAGCTTATGTTTATGATATGTGGGATATTGGTACCTATGCACACCATACCTTTTTAAAAACTATATTTGGTACAGGGTCTCATCATGCAGCTCTGGGTGTACACTACCACGCCCGGTCTCAGTGGCTGCCTCAGCACACCTGGAGGGCAGGTCTGGTGGGGCATATGGTGCTAGGGACTGAACCCTGGTCCCTGAGCTTGCCTAAGTAGGTGCTTAGTCTGCTGAGCTATCTCGCTGGCCCATACACATCATATCTTAGTTCTGTTCACTTTTTCTCCCTTCCTCCCTTCGGTCTCTCCCCACTCCCAGAGCCCTTTTCCATCTCCACAAGATCTATCTCCCTGCTTCCTATCATCTTTCTCATATTTTTCTTTAATTCATTTATACTTTGAATTTTTCATATAAAAGAGACGCCACAATATTTACCCTTCTATGTCTAATTTATTTTGTTTTGCATTATAGACTGGTAATACAACCATTTTCCTACAATTGTATTTTTCTTTTTTCTGTATTTAGGACAGGGGCTATAGGGACCCATAGTGATTCTCTTGTTTTCAGCCTCCCAAGCACTGGGACTACAGGCGTGTGCCACCATGCCCAGTCTCAATTGCTGTCTCAGCATGCCCCACAGGTGGGGCCAGCACAGCACACCGGGGATTGAACCCTGCACACTGCACTCTGCCTAAGCAGACGCTTTAGTTTGCTGAGCTATCAGGCCGGCCCCTACAACTGTATTTTTTGATCATATGGCTTATCAAAGCAAATGGACTGAGATGCAGCTGAGCCGTGGAAATGTCACAATTTCCTCTGGACCTGACACTGCCTCTCCCAGCTGTGCCTAGCTACTCTTCTCTAGCACGCCAGCTCCGGGCTAAGCCTGGAGCACCCTGGCCTGTCTTCTCTGCAGGGCCTTTCCATCGGCTGCTCTCTGCCTGCAGCAGGCCCAGGCCACCTCCAATATGTCCAACCCCCCCCCCCCCCGCCTACTCTGCTGTTTTTTTTTTTTTCCATTTTCCCATTTGTCATCATTCATTTCCCAAAACTACCTTATTATTATAGAAGCTATCATGTGCATTACAAAAAAAATAGAAATAATAAAAAATCTACAGGTTCTTACCATCCAACAAAATCCCTCAAACTGTCATAGAAAGGCAGTTATTTATATTCTTTTAAGTGACTCCCTAAGGGGCATTTCACCTAAGGAGAAATGTCACACAGTAGGCACAACACCTACCTCACAAGTGGGTGTGCTGCTTAAGTGAACTAATGCATCTAAATACTTAAAACAACGTCTGCTATAAAACCAAACACAGGTTAGCTGTATTCTCAGTCCTCGGGTCTTGTCTTTAACTTCTGTCCCTTCCCCCACTCTCCATAAAGTGGGTGACTGACACCAGGCAGACGAATGGAATGGTGTTTTTCCTGGAGGCAAGTAAGGATGCCTTCTGCTCTGAAAGCTGAGAAGCAAGTAATGAACAGGGAAGGGCTTCAGTCCAAAGTCACCACGAGATACAAGGCCACTAACTGTTTCATACAATTTTATAATAGTAACAAAATACTACACAAAGATAACATTCCTATATTACACGTCATCATCCATAAAATTTTATTTTATGAATGAAAGAATGTAAATGACTTCACGTTTACTCCATTGGCAAGGCAAGAGGCTGCGAATTAACTCTAGAGTTGGAAGATCATCGTGAGAAGAAGCATTTAGCTTAAGACGTAGTGCGAAGCATGTTAAATCCTGGAAGTTGCATTGCTAATCAATGACACAGCCTCTAGGACTAGCTGCCCATCTTTTACACAGGTGACTTACCTATCTTCACAGATGGGAGTCCTTTTGCTCTGGATAATTCTCCACCCAAATCTTCTCCTTATAAAAAGGAAAATTCTCCCTCAGCGGCGAGTGTACCAGGAAATGGGGCACATTGCTGGCACAACCAGGGAAGCACTGCTCTTGTGAACTGCAGAGGAAAAAACAAAACATCAAGAATGTTTTACATCTTTCAGCCTCTCTTGGAACCCTTTAATATAAATCTGTTTTCTGTTCCTCGCCAGAAGTCACAGAAAGAGGGAACTTTTTGTGTGTTTGCTCGTTTTTGCTGAGGTTCGCAGCTAGATTTAAGTAATATGAAATTTTCATATGATTCCCACTTTTGAAGGAGTAAAAAGCAACAGACCCATGAATACTGAGACTTGTATAGGCAGACTACAGGCAGATTTCTCACATATTCTTTTTTTCTTTTTTTTACTATTTTTAAAAATTTTATTTCTAGTATAGTAGAGGAGGTCCAATGTAGTGTGTGTGTGTGTGTGTGTGTGTGTGTGTGTGTGTGTCCCGCTCAGCCCACAAGGGAGCGGGGCTGGCTGGCATGTGGTGCTGGGGGATTGAACCGCGGTCCCTGTGCTTTGCTAAGCTTGTTCTAAGTAGGTGCTTTAGACCACTGAGCCATCTCACCAGCCCCTCTCACACATTCTTTACGGTAGTTTAACTAAAATCCAAGGAGCCAGAAAATACAAATTCTGTCTAGCAGGGAGTAAATGCAGGAAGGACTAGGTTATCTCCTCTCCCAGAGGAAGTGAAGGCACTTTGTTCAAATATAAATCACAGAGTTAACCAGGCTAAGGAGAGCCTTTTGGAGAGTCCATGCATAATCCAATCACTACCTGGGTGAAAACTATGACATGACTGAAGGATTACACTGGAATGGGGGAGGGAAATGTCCAGGAGACAACCCCAGATTCAAATGTGGCCTTCATGAAAACTCAGTAAAACAAGGCAGCACTCTCACTATCTGCCAATGACACTGGAAGAAAGCCCTCCAAATCTCAGGCTGTCAATGGACACTGGCCAGTGACAGCCACTCATGTGTTCTTAGAGGGGGATTCTCAGCTCTGTCTATAAGGACCATCTTCAGCCCAATCAGTCTCCCTTTTCTTACCTAGAAAAGTCACATAAAAATATTTTTAAAAATTTGCTTTAAGAGCAGAGACACTAAATCTCCTAGAAGAGAAAGTAGGAGGAACTCTTGAAGACATAAGGGTAGGCAGAGTTCATGGACAGAAATCAAATCGCATGGGTAACAGTTCAAAGAATTAACAACTGGGACCTGCTCTTACTGAGAAGTTTTTTCACGTCAAAAGAAATTACCAACAGAGTGAAAAGGTAACCCACAAATTTGGAAAAAATCATGTCAAATAAGTACTCAGAATCTATAAAGGTCTGCTCTCTAGAATCTATAAAGAACTAAAAAACACTGGGGCCCCAAAATTTAAGGACCCAATCCAGAAATGGGCATGCAAGATGAACACATGCTTCTCAGAGGAAGAAATTAAAGAAGTGAATAAATA